CGTCGAATGACCTGAAATTTCATTGCTTTTCTCGAATTTTCTGCTGCTATCTTCGTCTCCTCATCAGATCTCCGCGCTTTCTGGGGCTGGTTTTGTTCAAAGCTGTTAGCTTTGTTACTGTATTTTAGGGTTTTGGTTTGGTTCTCAGGGTATTTGTGGTTGTCTGATTCTTGGGTCTGCTTTATTCTTGTATAATTCTGCCATGGACAAGGATAAATCTACCAGCCATGGTGGAGGCTTGCCACCTCCGTCAGGTCGTTTCGCGGGGTTTTCTTCCAGCGGGAATCCCAACACTTTCAATGTTAAATCTGAGCCGCCTTCATCGCCACTCTGTTTTCCAATACAGCCGGCTTCAAATTCTGAAGCTAAACATTTCTCTCACGGATCGGATTCCAATAGGTTTAGCCATGATATTAGCAAAATGCCAGATAATCCACCAAAGAATATAGGTCATCGCCGTGCCCATTCGGAAATTCTCACTCTTCCGGATGATATTAACTTTGATAGTGATCTTGGGGTTGTAGGGGTTGCTGATGGGCCTTCGTTTTCTGATGAGACCGAGGAGGATTTGTTTTCCATGTATCTTGATATGGACAAGTTCAATTCATTTTCAGCTACATCGGTGTTTCAAGTGGGTGAGTCCTCGGCCACGGTGGCGGCTGCCTCCGGACCTGCTGTGCCTGGGGGAGCGGGTACTAGTTCTGGGGAGAATTTTGCAAGTGGGTCTGCTGAGAAGCCTAGGATTAGGCACCAACACAGCCAATCCATGGATGGGTCAACAAGTATTAAGCCTGAAATGCTTATATCTGGTTCTGAAGAGGCGTCCCCGGCTGATTCGAAGAAATCCATGTCAGCTGCCAAGCTTGCTGAGCTTGCTCTTATTGATCCCAAGCGCGCTAAGAGGTACTTTTTCCAATCAAAATTCTTAGATGTAATGTGCAAACTTGAATTTAATACATTGTTTTTATGTTATTAGTTTTAGATTTAGCTGTAAGATTTTTAACGGGCACAGTTAGAAAAACCGTTTTATTCAAAGCCTGCAATACTTGGTTGGATTGAGCAGTGGCTTTCTTAAATGGGCCATTTGTTCCTAGTAATTTTCTTCGGATGCTATCTTAAATTCTGCATTTATTTGTTGGGGGTAGGGTTATTCCGTGATACTATTTATTTCTAGGATCAATCTTTGCATGTTAAGTAATTACTTTGAGGAAAGCCAGGTCTGACTTGTCTTTCTGGTATTCATACAAGTAGCACTGAGGGACTCTTGGAAGGCGATCACTTTTCATTGTTATATTCTGCCGTTTGAACCTGTGTTGTGGCTGATTAATGTTTTATCCCTTTTAATTTTACTTTTTCTTGCTTGTTTTTTGGCTCCTCCCTCCTCCCTGCTCCTTAAAGGATTGTTTTCCTCTTAAATTTCCCCTGCCCTCTTATTTTTGTTTCTGTCAGAACCGAGAGAAGATATGTTTGCATACTGTTATGCTGATGCACGCAGTTCATGATGACATCACCTGTTCCTTTGTTGGCCTTGTGATAGGATCTGGGCAAATAGGCAATCAGCTGCAAGGTCAAAGGAAAGGAAGATGCGGTATATAGCTGAGCTTGAAAGGAAAGTGCAGACACTGCAAAGTGAAGCAACATCTCTCTCTGCTCAATTGTCTCTTTTGCAGGTATATTGCATGACTCGGGACTCACTCATTATATTCTTAGTCAAAGATGATGATATCCAATTTCAAGGAGTTATTGATTCAGTGTGCTGATGCTTCTATCTTCTTGTTTGACAAACAATTTCATTTAGAGCTAATGCTGGTTTAATTGTTCTCATTATTGGTTTTGAGCAGAGAGATACAAATGGTCTGAGTGCTGAAAACGGTGAACTGAAACTGCGGGTGCAAGCAATGGAGCAACAGGTTCACTTGCAAGATGGTGAGGATCTTTTGGAAATATATTCATAGCATATCTTTTCATTATTTCTCACTTTGACTTATTTTCTTGATCTATGTGGGGGATATTAGAGTCCATGTGATGTGAATATGCTCTTTTGTTTTTTTTCTTGGCCAATATGTTAATATGACATTGGGTAGGGTGTCTCTGTGTCTTTCAAGTTTCAACCGAGAGAAATAGAGAATGTGACTTGGTATTAGGCAATGAAGTTGTGCATTAGAGAAAAGGGGTACTGAAGTGGTTAGCAGAAAATGTGTATATGCTTTAAATATGTATGCCATTTTAGAATTTAGATGGCTTAAAGAAAAAAATGTGAATCATTGACAGCTTGAAAATCAAAATTTAATTACTGAAGGAGACCTAATAGGCTGATGGCTGAATCTGAGTTCTTCGAGTTATACATGTGGGAGGAAGTAAGAGGTCTTGAGTTTGAGTTGTATGGCATACGAGTGGGGTGGGTTAAGGGATGGAAGAGGGTTGACTCTCATTGTGCAACCCAAGATTTAAAAGAAAAAAATGGTCTGTGGTGATATTATTTCATACAATAATATAATTTTGTTTTTCTTTTCATCTGTTATAGCATTAAATGATACATTGAAGGAGGAAATTCAGCATCTGAAGTTACTGACGGGCCAAGCTATACCAAATGGTGGACCAATGATGAGCTATGCATCATTTGGGACTAGCCAGCCATTCTATCCAAACAACCATGCTATGCATACGCTTTCAACCACACAGCAGTTTCAGCAGCTTCAGATTCATTCGCAGAAGCAGCAGCATCAGTTCCAACAGCGTCAGCTGCACCAACTTCAGCAACAACAACTACAACAGCAGCAGCAACAGGACCAGCAACAGCAGCAACAACAGTTGCAAACCGGGGAATTGAAAATGAGAGGGTCCCTGCCATCCCCCAAACAGAAAGATAATTCATCTGATAGAAGCTCAGCTTCAATGAAGGATTAAAAGAGTTGTGGTCCTATGGAGGCATTGTGGGTCTTTGTCATGATTAGAATCTTAGTCGCAGTCTTTGTCGGATAGGATACTTTTACATTATCTACTATCTGTTTAGGTACACCTGCATAATATTCATTTAAATATTTGATTCTACTTTGAGATTTTATCAATGAGCTTGCCCCTTCTCACCACGTGTCCGTGACCAAAGTGGCTTCTGAACCGTCCCAAATTTCAATATATATATATTTTAAAGACGATGCTCTCCATTTCTCCTCCTCT